CTTCATCCACAGTCCCACACTCCTCCTGCCCCAGCTCCATCACCGATCTCCTCACTTTCTCGGCCCTGCAAGTTGTTCTCTTTCATCAAGCAGAGACCCACGACACAGGCCAAGAGCCTAGAACAGGAATTGGCTATCTACCTACGTGAGGAACCCACAGACGAGGAGGCTTTGCATTACTGGCGACGTAAAGCTATTGACTTCCCTCTGCTTGCCCAGGTGGCCAAGAGAGCTTTTACCATACCTGTTTGTGGTACTGTGGTGGAGAGCATTTTCACTACAGCTGGACGCTTCCTGCTGCCAGAGAGAGGCTGTGTCTTACCAAAGAACCTGGAGACGCTCATCTACCTCAAAGCCAACTACAGATTATTATGGACTTAGAGCTCTTTACACTTGCAGTAAAGTAACTTCTTGGATTCTAACCTCCATACCATTCTAAGGGAACCTGAGCTAGCACCATAACATAATCCTCATACTGCACATGATTTCATATCAGATAGAACGAATCACCAAGAAGAATTTCAGAGCTGCAGCTCATTTTAATCCTCGAGATCGGTTTTCCCGGCTACAGCGGGCGTGGATGGCTGTCTGCTTCCCCTCGTAGCCTACAGACTATCGCACCACATGCTGTGGACTGAGTTTGCTGGAAGCAGATCCATACTAAAGCATTTACTTTGACATTATTTTGCCTGATCAGGGTCTCCAGACAACCACAGATCTCCCTCTTTCTCATGTATCCATCAGTCAACACTGACAAACCAACAATAACCAGCTAGTCAAGTTTTGCACACTGTAGCAACTCGTGTTTTTTTTAGCTTTAGGTTGTGATTCATTATTTCGATTTTTAAAGGAAGTCATCAACTGCTCAACAGTATGTTAATGCGGGGTTCAATCTTTGTTTTAACTATGTGTGTGTGCCTCATCACTGGGAGATGATAATAAATTAGTTTCACTTACTTTAACGCTGCGGGTGTGTGCAGTTTGCAGATGTCAGTGAATGCACATGTCCTCATGTGACACGCTGTTTGTTATATACGGTGGACCCCCGACTTACGAAATGAATTTGTTCCAGAAGGTCTTTCGTAAGCCAAAATTCTTCGTATTTATTTTGAAGAAGACATGGATTGTGCTTCATGTGTATCATTTTGACCCTTATTTATATCGTCCTCTGTCAATCCTTCAGAGGAGAGGTGAATTTCATTTCATTTTTATTATCAGCACCCCCCACCCTCCTTTTTTCAATTTCATGTGAACTTTGAGGAAGTGAAATGGGTTTGACCCTGTGTCTGTCACAGAAGACTAGCAAGGAATGACTGTTTGTGCCACGACAAAGATTTTTCTTTGTTGAACTTCACATAGATATTTTGAAATAATTTTGCAGAGCATCCTTACGAAGGAAAACAGGGAATAAAGTAGTGTGTGTTAGCCTTTTTTTGCTTTCTTACTCTGGGCTGGGCCTGCAGGGAGGCTGGGTTATTGCAATAATTCCATTACAGTTAAATTTGAGTCAGCAGGCAGGCAGCAGTCACATCCTGCACCCCCTCCCTCTTCCCTTATCACAGGCAACAAGCCTCACAAAATCTTATTTCTAAAGACCTGAGAAATAAATGTCAGGACTGCATGCAGCTACTGTACATTTGTTCTATAATACCACATTAAAGGGATGAAGCGTTTCAGTGCCTCAATTAAGGAGCTATGATCAATAAAGTGACCATAAACAACAGTATCAGTCAGTCTAAAGATGAACCCCTGATAGTGCTCTCACAAGGCTTACATCTATTTATTATTATTACCTGCAAAAAAAGAGAAAAAAACCCAGTGTAACAGTTTTTGTTTTTGAAAATCAATGTGCTAATCTGTGGGCGATACAAAGAGATCCCCCTCATAGATCATAATTATCAAAGATTGCTGTGATCTTAATGGTTATCACCCCAGGACGTCTCTGGATTTAGATATGGAACTAGATATCTGTGTGGACGTGCCACTGTGTTCATCTTTGAAGCGCGTGTTTTCCCAGCTTTCCATGGGTGTGTTGTTGTTGTTCTTTGTTAGTATATGTGGAGCAGCTTGAGGCACCCACCTGCCCCTCCCCAGCTGTGACAGCTCATCCATTTGAGTTAGACGACTGGGCTGGGATGCAGCCCTGTTGGTAATTGCCTCTGAAATGAATTACTTGGCAGACAGTGAGACCGGGGGAGGGGGAGGAAATTGTAATTGAACTGCCCCCTCACTCCCTCCCTGGTCCTTATACCTCAAGTTATTACATCTGCAGTGCAGAAGGACATTTTCCATCCGCACACAGACACACAAAATGCTCACACCCTTACAAAACCAATTCTTCCCTCTCCCCTGCACGATGGCCTCAGCAAAGCACCATATTGATGCAGGGTGATTTCATAGATTGATTGTTCACGGGCACATGCACACTAGGCCACTGCACACTCTCGCACTCTTATTCACAGCACAGAGACAAACCCTCTTTTACACACTGAGTTTGCATTTGCTTGTGCTGCTCTGCTCCAAATACTCTCCTATTTGAGGTGCCCTTTAGCTGGCCTTCCTAATGCCTAATGGGCTGCAGGACATCGGAGTTGGCACAAACAGAAGCGGTGTTTAGTATCTTGAAAGCCCTGGTTACCCCGTACACACAGACACGCACACTCAGCCAAGCAGTGTTATTAATAACCTGCCTGTTGCTGGCCTGCTGACAGTTAGAAAGCCTGATGGATTGAAAAGCACTCGTGCTTGAGGCGGCACATTTGTGCACGCTGTTTGGTTTGTCTTTCATTTTTTGGACATTGCCTAAATTATGGAAGAAATTTAAGGCTCGTCTTGTCCCTTTCACCACACGCACACACTGGCAGTCAGTCATGTTTGGTCATTTGGCCTTTTAATAGCCAGGCCACTGTAGGCAGGGGACTTAGTTAACTGAGCCACCTACCCCCTACCCTGGTCAGATATGCACATGTTTTGACTCCAACCTTAGCACACAATAGGTGCTATTTCTGTAATGCACTAGGGTCATGACTCCACTTATACCCTCCACCCCTCCCCATCTGTCTCTCTCTCTCCTTTTCACCCCTGCTCTTCATCCGACACCGTCACCTACTTGCACAGAATCATGGCGGACAGAAACAGCCGGTTCAGCGTCAAGAGGAAAGAAAAGAAGGCGGAAAGCAAAACGAATAGTGAGAAGGACAAAGAAAAGGAAAAGGTGAACGAGAATACGGCAAAAAAGCCAGAAAACCCCCAGAAGAAACCAGAGAAGGTCCCTGAGCAGCCAAAGACAGATGAAGAGAAGAGGAATGGGGAAAGTGAGGGGGCAGCAGGCGCAGACGCAAAAAGCAGTGATGAAAATGGGGAGTTTCAGCCTATAGAACTGCCTCCGTTTGAGATCGTCACAGGGTGGGTAAAATTTACTGCGTATGCCATAAAGGAGTTCAAAACAGTGTGTCCCACTAACCTGTTTTAGTCTTTAACACAAGCATGTTTTATCTTATAGATGAAGTCCTTTCTATGTATAAGTCATATTGTTCTAAAGTGCATGTTCTTTACTTGATTTCAATGAGACAGGAAACTGGTGACTTGCACATGCTGTTATTAGCGTAGTGGTAAGAATAGGGATGAGTCACGAAGTGAACACTGAAGCCGGCCCCAGATATATCCCCCTGCCTAGCATCTGTTTCCCGTATCTGTCCTATGACTATGTGCTGTCAAAGCAAAGCGCCATCAACATTATATGAGATCTATTTTGTGTGATCCATCTGGCTCTCCTTGTGCAGTAGAACAGTAGATTATTAAGTCCGGGCAGGTGGAGTTGGCTGGTATAGGTTCTTTAGGCCATAACGTTCAGTCGTTGGCTCTTTATTTTTCATTTTATTTATTACTTTAGTTTGGATCATCACAAAATGAGCAACCCATGCTTAGGCAAGCAAGTGCACGTCTGCCCACCTGGAAAGTCATTTGTGACTTTTTCTCACATTGCACTGTCATGAACCACAATGAGAGGTGACAGAGGACAAACCTTTTGACCCTGATAATGAGAGCAGTTTCTGCCAGTAAACCACTTCCTTTTAGATTCACTCACAAGGCAAAAGGGCGTCTTTGTTAAAACTCACACTTTTACTCTACCAGGGAACAGATGAGCCCATTCTACTTCAAGTTTCAGTTCAGGAATGTGGAGTACTCATCAGGGAGGAACAAAACCCTCCTGTGTTTCAGAGTGGATACAGCAGGAGGCAGCGCAGAGCCTCTGAAAGGTTACATGGAGGACGAACATGCCACCGCTCACGCTGAGGTGGCCTTCTTTGAACAGGTAATGCCATTGTGCCCAAATGTGAACTCTAGTTTTCTCATTTCTAACTTCATAATACAAACTAGACTCAAACCTCGACTCCCACATCTGTAGGTGCTCCCTAATGCCTCTCTAGAGTGTGATGTCACATGGTATGTATCATCTAGTCCCTGTGTGGCCTGTGCAGCCAAGTTGGCCAGCATCCTCCAGCAGCGCAAAAAGATGCGTCTTTGTATATTCTGTTCCCGTCTCTTCGAGTGGGAGGAGCCAGAGATAGTTGAAGGGCTTAAGGGCCTGGTGAGAGCCGGCTGCAAACTGCGAATGATGAAGCCGTCTGACTTCCTGCATGTGTGGGAAACGTACGTGGAGAAGGAGGATCAGAGCTTTACACCCTGGGAGGATTGTCAGGAGAACTACAACTACTATATGGAAAAACTGGCAGATATCCTCAAGTAGATGTGAGTCAGTGTGTGTGTTGTGCATGCAGTGAGCCACCATGCTGTTTTTGGTTCATCACAGGTTTATTTATAGACGGTAACTTGGTTTTCCATGTGGATTCTGTCCTCTTTCTTGTCACTGCTACAGATGCACGGACCTCCCCACCAACTGATCCACAAATCGCACTACTTGTGAAATTCCCACTGGCTGAATGCGTGCTTCTTGCAGTCACACGGTGCAGAATGTTGTTAGTTTATGCACTCTTGGCAACATTTTATACTTTTTATTAACACAATTCATGTGGAAACTTAAAATGCTTGAATTTTTACATAAATACATCAACTAATCAACATCCAAGTGGTTAGAAAACGAAGCAAGAAGCAAAGAACAAAAGTGACATTCATCGTTACGGTAAAAATAAAGTTTGGACAACACCACAGCCTGTGTTACATCTGCTGACATCTGCTGCTTGCTCGGAGAACTGAAGATCTAACTGAAGAACAACGAATAAATTCTCCTCCACGTCATCGTACATGTAAAATATATACAGCAACTCAAAATGAACAGTGGTTATAAATGATGTTCAGCTCATAAATAATGTTTTTTCTATTTAACAGTGCCTTAAAATCCAAATTCATTCAAACAATGTGAATTAAACGATGCATAAATCCTCAACAGTTTTGTGCTGTTTGGAAATGTGTGTATAAAATATCTGTTCATGCATATTTTATCATATGTTTATTTTTTTCAGTAGCTGGTTTTTTAAAACTATCTCGCCCTGAAGAGTTTCCAGCTGTCGGGCCATGACAGAGTACGTCTAAAACGAAAACCTTTCACATCAATTGTAATGATCTTCAGCTGAGTTTCAGATGTCCTGTGACTGCCACATCACTAGATCGCACAAAGATGTTGTTTTCTGGTGTGCACTGACCATTAAAGCCTCACAGAGCTGAAGTACGTCTGCTGACTCATTGATAGGCCTGTTGTTGATGCAAAGACTTCGTCATTCATTGTAGAAAAGAACTCAGCCCACCGTTGGTTTCTGTTGTTTCCTGGTTGTCAGTCGTTGCAGCTAAAGACCAGGTTTGTGGAAAAACAGAGAAATTGTGTTTTATGTTTTAGAAACGCTGACACAGGATCATCATCATCATCACCGCAGATTAAAAAAATAAGCGCATTAGCAAAGTGCATTTGTGATTTAAACTTTATTACCTTGGTCCTCCTGCTTGGTTATTGGTAAGGGTGTTGTTTCACTGCAGACTGTGCCATTCTCCTCCTCTTCTTCTGTTCAGACGGATTAAGAAAGAAAAGAATCAGCATCTTTTACGACAGCTGAGCGCTTATTTAAGTATGTCAATCAAATCTTCTTTGCTTACAGCGATTTTCTTACTTTTCAGTTTCAGACTTACTGCAAAATATGACATTTAAAGGAAGTATTTTGTTTCTCCCAAGGAAGTGATGTATTCTCAGTTTCCTCATATTACATAGTTACAAAAGCAGCAGATGAATCAATCATGATAACGACTTCTTCGAAAAAGGACTTATGTGCTCACTCATTACGAGATTTATTTATTTTTACCTTTAGCTGGTGCATTCAGAGAGGCATCAGTGATGTACTCAACCAGTGGACACGGCACATCTGCAGTAAGAGGAATAAAGAAGTTAAATACAGGAAGTCACACCTAAACTTTTATGTGCAAGTCGGTAGTTTCCCAGCCTTTCTTTTTTTTTTGTTTTTTGTGGCGGCCTCTATCTACAGCATACTTGGAAAGGGCGACCAAAACCACGTCACTGACATGGTGCTAACTTACCAGTTATCTTTAGCTCGGCCATTGTCGGAAACAGGTTGACCTCTTCCATTTTGTCATCACGACCATCTGTGTGAAAATTAACAGCTCAAGTTTTTGTGATACTTGTATTGATTTGGACATTTATATAAGTTGGGTGTCACCTTAATACTGTGCTGATTTTGGATTCCATTAACCCTTTAAGATAATAGTTTATCTTTAGCTACAAAATGATTCACTAACTTACTGGTACGTAGTCTGTTTAATAATGTCGAGTGGGAGAGATGCCCAAGAAAGACACTTTGAGAGCAGTGCGAGGGTAAAAGTGCAGGCTGAATAGATAAAATTTCTGCACCTGTCCAACCAAATGCAGCTGCAGATTTAGGTGCAAATCGTTTTTCTAAAGGTTTTTTATTTCACTCTTCAGTTTGCCCACTTTCATTCATTCTAAAAGTTATGATGTTGGTTCTTACAGAGTTTTAGAATTTGCACAGTCAAAAAGATAAGAAAGCATACTTGGTTTGCGGAAGACTCTCAGGGCCACGCATCCTATCAAGACCGCAGCGATACCAAAGACGATGCAGCCAGAGATGGAAAGAAGCACCCGCCTCTTTAACACTAAACATTAAAACAAAACAAAGCACAAGATTAATGACAGAATATTATTTTGAGAGAAGATTCATAACTAGCAGAGCTCAGTTGTACTTACGAAGGTTCTTGGTCTTGAAGGAGTCACTGGATTTTGAGTATAAGGGTCTCTCATCAGCATGTGCACAGCAGGTGTAAGTACTCTGGTCGGGGTCATTGCTGGGAGTTACTGTATGTGTCACATTGAATGAATCGATTCGTTCCCCCTCTTTGAACCTATTAAAATTCAGTTTATTGAAAATCTGCATTACTGCTGAATTTTCCTAAAGAGCAGAATCTACACAGGGCACTAATAATTATGAACATTGTTATATTACCATGTGTAATGCATCCAGTTGTGCGTGCTCTCCTTTACTTCACATTTTAGACTCAAGCTATCAGTGGAGAAGACGTCTGACCAGCCAGTTAGCAGGACTATAGAAGCCTTTGGGCGCTCTGTAATAAACGCAACCAAGAAGTGAATAACGAACATTCAAAACCAGAAGAATGAAAGGAGGAAATCAAAAAACGTACCTTCAACGTTGAGCTTTATTTTGTTACTGTAGCTTGAATAGAAGACCCTTTCTGTTCCTCTGCTAACTTTGCATTTATATGAACCAGAGTCTTTTGTTGCCACAGAAGTGATGTTGTATTTGCTTCCAGATAAGTCTAACTTGCTGCCATCTTTGTACCACAGATACGTCCATCCAGAGGAAACATTAACGTGACAGTTAAGGGACACTGAGTCCTCAGAGTGCATCAAATTATGTGCCGGATTCTGCTCCAGTGTGACTGTCGGTTTTGCATCTGAGGGTTGATAAGAATCAACAATAAGAGTTGTACAAGAGCACTGAAATACAAGTCAGACGGCGTACCTGATCTAAAGGTAAGACGACCATTAACTAGTCTGCACTGCTTTAAATATCCATTTTCTTAACGAGAACACTTCTCTGCCATGATGAAAAAACTTTTTTATTTGAGGTAGTTACAGAGTTACACGATGATGCTGCTCCATCCCTATGATGCTACAGTAAACACAACAACATTTTTAATGTACTTTTTAGTGTGTAAATACAATAATAACTTTACTAGACTTCATGTGAATTAACCGCTGACTTCCTGAAGACTTTATCACCTTTGCATTGAATGAGGTTAACATGGGTGTTTGTGTTTTTATGGCTTCTCTAATTTTCAAGCCAACCTTCCCCCTCTGGTGTGATCTCATACTGAACATCGCATTTGTAAACGGGTCAACACTCTCACAGTCTAACTGTTAGCAGGAGAGTAAACAGCCTTACATTCGCAACATTTTAAACCTTTACTTTAAAATTACAGCTAACACAGCAAAACTGAAAAAGACAAGTTTCAATGAAGAACCGTGTCAAAAATCAGAAGAAGAAAACAAATCTCACCATAGACATGAAGATTTAGTGGAGAACCTTTGGTGCTGTAGACGTCCCTGCTCTTCAGTTTTCCTGAGCAGCTGTAGTTTCCCCCGTCTGAGGTTGAAGCAGAGGTGATGGAAAGATTTCTGCCCTTATCTGAATTATAATGCTGGACCTTTGTGCCATCTCTGTAAAACGCGTATGTCCAGTCAGCGCTGTCCTTCTGCATCTCACAGCTCATATTTACACTCTCAGTGGGGAACACATCTGGCCATTTGGTTACTAGCTTCAAAGTTGGAACAGGAATTTCTAAAAAATAAAATATAAGAGACTTGTTAATCATTTTACAAATCATTAGAGATTTTCTGTTTTGATTCTCCCCATAATAATACCCCAAAGTATCTCAAATCACATGATTTCAAAGTGTCTTTCTTTAGCTCACCAGAGATTTGTACGGTCCGCTGGTCACTGAATTCTGTGTTGAATCCTGTTTTGTCTCTTTTGGCCTTGCACTTATAAACTCCCCCGTTTAACAAAACGAGTCCTTTCATTTTTAAACTGTTGCTGTTGTTGGGAATTGATGCTTCATCTTTGTACCAGTCATAGCTCCATCCATCTGAGTTTTCAACTTTGCATTCAAAGGACACGTTTTCTCCAACGTAAAGCTTTTTAGCATCTGGCTGTTGAGTTATTGTAGGCTTAGGCTTGTTTTCTGAACAGACAAAGAAGAAGTAGTGTTTTTTTAATTTTAGACAGAAGCAACTGAAGTGTTCATGAAAAAGGTTCTGAAATGAAAGCAGGAACAAAGCTGCTGGACTACAAACAGATATTCTGAAGAAGAGTCAATAGAAACTTACGTTGCACTTTAAGTTGTTTAGCTGCACTTGAATCAATGATGAAGGCTGAATTTTGACCTCTTGTTGCTTTGCATGTATACGATCCCTGATCTGCTGTTCCACGAATTTGAACTTTAAGTTTGTCTGATGATCCAGTAACCTTACTGCCATTTATGTACCACAGGTACGTCCATTCAGACTGGACACTGATGGCACAGCTGAAGGTGACCGCTTCTCCAGCAAACATCACATCGTATTCTGGATCTCGTGTCAGTGTGAGAGTGGGTTTCTCAGCTGAGGGGATATGAACATGACAATCAAAAATTATGCAGTATTTAATGTGGACATTGTGACGTGCCTCAAACAATTACTCTTGTATTTTGATATAATATTTGATATGTTTTATACCTGAACTTGAAAAAGTTCCTTTGTAAAAATACACAAAAGCATTTGTGATGTTGTGTAAATTTCTAAAACTCACCACAGTGAGAGAAACTTCAGAACAGTTTTTATAAATGAAAGCAGAAACAAACCTGCTGGACTACAAACAAATATTCTGAAGAAGAGTTTATATAAACATACCTTGCACATTTGTAAATGAGTTATCACTGTCATTCTCTAACTGTTAGCAGGAGAGTAAACAGCCTTACATTTGCAACATTTTAAACCTTTACTTTAAAATTACAGCTAACACAGCAAAACTGAAAAAGACAAGTTTCAATGAAGAACCGTGTCAAAAATCAGAAGAAGAAAACAAATCTCACCATCGACATGAAGATTTAGTGGAGAACCTTTGGTGCTGTAGACGTCCCTGCTCTTCAGTTTTCCTGAGCAGCTGTAGCTTCCCCCGTCTGAGGTTGAAGCAGAGGTGATGGAAAGATTATCTGAATTATAATGCTGGACCTTTGTGCCATCTCTGTAAAACGCGTATGTCCAGTCAGCGCTGTCCGTCTGCATCTCACAGATCATATTTACACTCTCAGTGGGGAACACATCTGGCCATTTGGTTACTAGCTTCAAAGTTGGAACAGGAATTTCTAAAAAATAAAATATAAGAGACTTGTTAATCATTTTACAAATCATTAGAGATTTTCTGTTTTGATTCTCCCCATAATAATACCCCAAAGTATCTCAAATCACATGATTTCAAAGTGTCTTTCTTTAGCTCACCAGAGATTTGTACGGTCCGCTGGTCACTGAATTCTGTGTTGAATCCTGTTTTCTCTCTTTTGGCCTTGCACTTATAAACTCCCCCGTTTAACAAAACGAGTCCTTCCATTTTTAAACTGTTGCTGTTGTTGGGAATTGATGCTTCATCTTTGTACCAGTCATAGCTCCATCCATCTGAGTTTTCAACTTTGCATTCAAAGGACACGTTTTCTCCAACGTAAAGCTTTTCAGCGTCTGGCTGTTGAGTTATTGTAGGCTTAGGCTTGTTTTCTGAACAGACAAAGAGGAAGTAGTGTCTTTTTAATTTTAGACAGAAGCGACTGAAGTGTTCATGAAAAAGGTTCTGAAATGAAAGCAGGAACAAACCTGCTGGACTACAAACAAATATTCTGAAGAAGAGTCAATAGAAACTTACGTTGCACTTTAAGTTGTTTAGCTGCACTTGAATCAGTGTTGAAGGCTGAATTTTGACCTCTTGTTGCTTTGCATGTATACGATCCCTGATCTGCTGTTCCACGAATTTGAACTTTAAGTTTGTCTGATGATCCAGGAAGCTGACTGCCATCTTTGTACCACAGGTACGTCCATGCAGACTGGACACTGATGGCACAGCTGAAGGTGACCGCTTCTCCAGCAAACATCACATCGTATTCTGGATCTCGTGTCAGTGTGAGAGTGGGTTTCTCAGCTGAGGGGATATGAACATGACAATCAAAAATTATGCAGTATTTAATGTGGACATTGTGACGTGCCTCAAACAATTACTCTTGTATTTTGATATAATATTTGATATGTTTTATACCTGAACTTGAAAAAGTTCCTTTGTAAAAATACACAAAAGCGTTTGTGATGTTGTGTAAATTTCTAAAACTCACCACACTGGGAGAGAAACTTCAGAACTGGTTTGGCTGGTGACAGCCCTGTTCTGGATTTTTCCACTACACATTTTTTCCTATATGACCAGCTGAAGCAGAGCCTCATTCACATCTAAAGACACAGTACCATCAGCGTGGACCTGCGTCCCATCTCTCTACCATGTATACATCCAGTCACAGGCGCCCTGCCCCATCCCACACTTGAACTTCACACTCTCGGTGGGGAACACATGTGCCCACTTGAGTGTGTCTGTTGAAGTTGGAACTGGAATCTCTGACGAAAGCAGACGCATTAACCATTTAACATAGCATGCTTTTACAGTTGCAGCTAGCAATGATTTCTATTATTTAGTGTGTAAAACAGGATGTGTCCTTTTACACAAATGATCTTATTCTTTCCCTCACAGCTCCACCTATGTTCTAACACCCTGACGGCTTTTGAGGCATCCCTCTGTGCTTCATGCTACGCCACAACATCCTGTTTCGACAGACGATGCAGAAAATAACGGAAGGAAGATGCTCTCAAAATGCTGTTTCACGGAGTACAAAGAAGTTTTGAGGTTTTAATAACAGTATGGACAACGCAAAATATGACCTGCTTATACACAAGATTAGCATTTTGCATATTCACAATACCAACTGCTTATTTACAACAATAATTTTACTTGTGTTCACCTACTGTTGTGGTGAGGTTTGAGAAAACTGATAAGAATCTCATGTTCGTCTGTGAGGTATATATGAAGCAACGCAGAGGGCCAAAACAGACTGTTTGGCTCTGTCCACAGTGACAGAATCACCCTGTTAGCCTGTCGTACTCTTATTACTTTGTTATTTCTTAAACTGTTAATGCAAGTTAAAGTAATGCCATGCACATGCAAGAAAACTCACCGCTAACTTGGATCATAACCTCGCTGCTGAATCCAGAGTTCACTCCCCTAGATGTAAGGTGAGCTTTGCAGGTATATGATCCTTTATGCGTCTGACGGACCGGGTTGATTTTTAATGATGATCCGTTCCCATTAATGATCTCAACTGGGTTATTTTGGAGCTGCTGCTTATTTCTGTGCCATGTAAACGTCCAGCCAGGGGTGCTGCTGACAACGTGACAGCGAAATTCCACCGCCTCACCTTCAAACACATCTTTCCAGGCAGTCTGAAGCTGCAGACCTGGTGTTGGTGGGTCTGTAACACAAAAAAAGAGAACTTTTAACTGCAGGTTAAAAGAGTATCAGTAAGAAAGCCAAATTGCTATGTACATCATCCAAGTACTATACATGCATCCAAAGTTACACACAGCTTGGGTGTGCTTGCTGCTCAGGACACAGAAAGAAAAGGGCATGCTTCAGCAGTCTACACTCTCTCTATAAACACAGCACAAATATTGCAACGAACCTTACCATAAACTGTAATTTCGACAGGTCCACTTTCTTTAGTTTGACTGGGCTTCTTTTTGCCCTCAACCACACAGGTGTAATTTCCAGAATCTTGTGTTGATGACGCTGTGATTGTAAGCACTGACTTATCTGGGGACGGAGACAGATTTGGACCAGAACCTAGAGGGCTTCCATCTTTCTTCCATGTGATGATCAGCTCCGAGCTGCTAGTGGCTTTACATTCTAGCACTACTTTCTCAGAAGAGAAGACGTCTGACCAGGAGGACGTTCGCTCCAGAACTGGTACCGGAGGCTCTGAAAATTGATTTAAAAAAGTGAAAGAATGGGAATGAATGAGGGTTTACACTCCTAAAAGAAAAACAACTGGGAGTTTAGATTCCATTCGTATATCCAGAATCTGAGCAAAACCCCCCTAATGATGGCTACAGACGTAATATAAAAATATCAGTAAATCTAAAAGAATAATCACAAACGAAGTACACAGAGGAGCATCTGTGAATGTAGAACGCAGTAAAAGCTGAAGTAGATGTGAGCACAAAAACACCAGATGCTAATCGTGTCAGGTAAGAACAGGAAACCAAAGTTACCAAAACTTGACAATTAAAGACCGGAAAAAACATTTTGATTGGTTAGATTTCTGTAATGACACAACCTCAGAATTGTTGCGTTGAATGGGGTGTTTTATGGGTCAGTAGGAAGTCTTTAGATACTCTACAGCATCAATCAGACATCACCTAAAAAGCTTACTCAAGTAGCCCGTTGTTGCTGGCCCTGCCCATTCCTTTACTGATAAATTGTACCCATCTATTCAACAGGACGGCATGCCAAAGCTCAAACACTCGCGCTGTATTCTTGAACACAACGAAGTGTTCACTGAATTCAGATCTGACTAGATGTCAGTGAAATACGTCACCTATCGGATGTGGTTAAATAAAACAAATCCATCATGCAGGTACTGCTGCCCACTAATGCGCAGGCTGTGCATGATGCTCGGCATGCCAGTTAAGGTAGCTCTGAAGCCAAAAACGAGCCCGACATGTTAGCGGCACAGTGCAAGTGGCGTTTGACGAGTACATATGATCAAAAAAACTGAGGTCATAATCTCACCAAAAGGAGGAGGTGCTGTCGATTCACTTTCTCTATAACTGTAGGTGGTTGCTGGATGAAGAAGAGAAAAGATGTGGAGAGCAAAGTTTAGATTTTAAAAAAACAAGGTTTGAGTCATATCCACAATGTAAAGGTGAGACTTCATAAAAACACTGGTAACAGTTAAATCAGAGCTCCAATCTCAAACTGCGATGCCTAATTCTTTTTTTAGTAGACATGAATGATTGAAATGAATACATTTTTCACAACTTTTAAGAACTTTTAGTTTGACAAAACAATGACTTAAAAACACTTCTCATGTAGAAAAAGGAGGAAAACATCCTTTGTGTCCTACATACAAAACAATTACACAATACATCCACTCTCAATACTGTCAAGTGAAACCTACGGCATGATGACAGGAGACTATTGAGATTAGGCTGGCGTGAGGTAATACGGACACATGAGTTTATAAGTGTGTGTATCTAGTTGTAGGAACTTTCAGACTCATGACAATAAAGTACTTCATGTTCCTCTTGTTAAATTTACCCAAGTTCTACTTCCTAAACATTGCTCTTGCTCGACTCAGACTCAGCCATGTAGGCATTCAGTGCATAAATGTTGGTTTAAGAGACACTTTATGATCTTAACAGTTAACTTCTGTACTGAATCTGGTGTTTTTGCTCAACATGAAAATGTTTTAAAAAATCTTTTTCCAAAAATCATCTTCAACTTCTAAAACAGTGCAATCTGCTCAAATGTGTGAAAATCTGCTCTCGGCATGAAAGACAGTTTTTCCTACCATCGTTATCCTCAGAAGCACAAACAGCAACCGCATCTGTCAAAGAACCAAACATTGTTCAGTTGCATTAAGATTTGCATGTAAGTGAAAATATTCTTTATAAACTACAGAATTGAACATAAACGCTTAAAAACTTACATATTACACTGAAGACCTTGAACAGCCACATTTTCCATTGAGCTGCACGTGTAGCACATGTAGAGACTGGGTGTCTCAGTTGACTCATTTATCTGCTTCGCTGTGACATTCAGTAAAGGAAATAGAGCACAGTTGCAGTATAAATGGGCGTATGTGACAGCTTCATTTCTGAACTCACCTCAGGACAGCAGCTTTCCTGTCGCTCTCTGACAACTGCCTTTTTTTGTTAAGGCAACAGGAAATGTGTTGGTGAACCACACTCAGATGTTTGTTGTTGATACAAAGTTGAACTGCTGATTTGTGTGAAATAAAAGGAGGGTTTAGGGAATTGAAAGAATGTGCAAGATGCTAAACTGTTGACAAAGCTCGATATTGTGCTCAATTTGACGATTTTAGACCTAAAGTCGTCTATGACTTAGCCAGCATGTCGTAGCTGGGATATTTCATTGTGCAGAAAAAAACTAAACAAAAGAAATAATTTTAAAAAACTACCGACATCAACAAATGCATTCCTAAAATCAAAGTTATCCTTTTACTATGGTGCAGGCCATTTGGAAACTGTAGCTGAGGCGTGATTTGAGGGGATGAACGGAAACTGCAGGTTATTTAAATTATACTTTTTTTATAAACTTATATGAAACTAGCGTCTAACCACAAACTGTGACTTCCTTTTGTCTTCAGCTGAAAGTTGCTCTCGAAAAACAAGAAAGGAAATTTCTTAACAGTTTCATTTTGACTGAAAACACCTTTTAGAGCACACATGTAACTACATTATATGTAATATTCAAAACAGCCTTAACGAGCACATCAGTTTTAATTATTACGTGTTGAATGAATCTTTCTCTCTCTGGTGACTTCCTGTAAGGCTGGGTGTTTTGCACCGAGATGCATCACATTTCAGTTCCTGTGTAAGCGAGGACTTCACTCACCCTACTCACCACAAGGTGTCTGTATAACACAGAAAATCCCGTTATGTCATGTCAAACTAAAATAAACCTCGGTTCATATCAAACCTGGGAATAACAACCATAACCTATCTTTAAAAAAACATTTGTATATATCAGTCTTTTGATTTATCCAGTTTATTAGAGCCTGATTATAATGATTAAATTTCACCAGGCCATGTATACTCGGTGGCCACTTCATTAGTTACACCTTGCTAGTACAAAGTACTTGGACTGCTCTTTTGCTTGCAGAACATCGTCAGTTCTTCATGATACAGATGATATAAGATGCACTGTTGCACTATATAAATAAAACTGAACAGAATTTAATTCGATTGAATTGAATGTGGACGAGAAATCGAGATAACTGCATGATTTGTCTAAAGTAGTATTTAGTGAATCATATGTTTTGGAGTAGTTTTATTTTGGTATTGATGCTATTACTACTAATAATAATAACAATAATAACAAACAATAATAAACAGGCACTTACAGGTACTGTTATCGGTGGCTTGAACCACGTACAACAACCTCGGCTCTGTTTAAAACCGCAGTTTAGCGGTTGTTAGTGTGTAGTTGACATCAAAAGTTACCGGTGCTGTTGTGTCGCTTCTGACACCATTAATACGTCAGCAAACATCTTTTTTTTTTTTAAAGTTACATAATGTAAAACTTACGTTGTCGTTAACGTTACTGTCACACACAATGATGCATTCACGGGTCGGTTTCACTTCCAGAGCGCACAGTCTCCTTCCTGTCTTCTAAACTGGGATTTCCGTAGTTTTTCTTTTCCCAAACTTTACTACTTCCCAGTGTTGCCAACTTAGCGACTTTGTCGCTATATTTAGCGAGTTTTCAGGCCACCTTAGCGACTTTTTTTCTGAAACGCGACTAGCGACAAATCTGGCGACTTTTTCTGGCGTTATTAGAGACTTATTTATGACGACTTTACTCTCAATAAGCAGCGGGTGCTGCGGTGGGCACCTCGCCCGTGCCAAAGCGCTCACAGGCCGCTATCAGGGCAGGGCTCCCGCACTGACTGTAACGCAGTCAGTTCTTCTTTTACTGTTATGTTGTTTTGTGGACCACAAAGTTTAAAACCACACACACACACACACACACACACACAAACAATAACTCCCCCAGAGCGCCTGTTTCGGGTCACTTTTGCCGGTCCAAGCCCGGGTAAAGGAGCAGGGTTGGAATTGTGACATTAAAAAAAACAATAATTGCTAAAAGAAATGTAATTTGTAGTTCTAAATAAACTCTAAATGCATTTAGGACGTTTTTTACTCACTTTATGTCTCTTCCACGATGTTATTTCTCTCTCCAACAACATAGGTTACAATTACATTAGCATGACCAATTATGCAAATTAGGCGATGACATCATTTAGCGACTTCTAGCGACTTTTAGGCCAATAGCGATTTTCCTTACTGAGGAGTTGGCAACACTGCTACTTCCAACATCGCAAACATCGTGCAAACAGCGATGAGTAACTGGACTGTTCCTGTCATCAATGTGTAAACAGGCTAAACAAAAGATGCTTCCAGATGTATGTACAGTTTCGTTTGACATTTTCCCCCCAACAGGACCTCAGGTGATTCTGGCAAAGACAAAAATGGGCAGAGTCGTGGTATTTCCCTTGTTTGTCATAAGGTCTCGCCAATCCTGGAAGCTGTGCTGTGCATCTGGACTGCATACTTCTTTTCTTTTCTTTGTTACCTTCATATTCAGGTCCCGTTCAGTTAAACTGTTTCATTATTAATAAAAGATAATGTACAGTCACTCACTGTTCCTGATGAAACACCGGTGCAGTGTCAATAATATTACAAATATTAATACTAGTAACGCTAATAACTGTTTGAAAACTGAATCATGAAGTGGTGCTTTTTTTCTTTCTGGGGATTTTCGAGAAAACATTTCAAACTTAAATGTTTTTTTCACAGAGGCAATGGTGGGGAACTCTTCAAAGAGTGTACAGTTGAATAAGATAGCTCGGCAGATAGTATTTCATTTCAACATTATTGTTTTTTAGAAAACAATAGATGTTGTACAACATTAGCTTCAAAGACAATCTTGTGTTTGGTGGCAGAAGTTGAGGGGCTAACAGAGAGAAACAGACATGTGCCTGCAGCCAACATCGAACCACCAGTTAACCTGACATACGTACATGTAGGTCCATATATATTTGGACACTTTTTACCTGTATACTTAAACATATTCCAATTATTGATACATAATGGACATGGACATAATATGCAGACTCAGCTTTCATTCAAGCGTATCCACATTCAAATTGGATGAAGTGTTTAGGAGTACAGGTCCTTAACATGCACCGCCCTCTTTTTAAAGGGACCAAAAGTAATTGGACAATTGATTTAAAGGCTATTTGATGGGCTCATTGTTTCATTACTAATGAAGCAGATAAAATGACTGGAGTTGATTTGAGCTGTGGTGCTCGAATTTGGAAGATATTGCTATGAACAGCATGCGGTCAAAGCAGCTCTCCATGCAGGTGAAACGAGCCTGCTTAAGCTGCAAAAACTGGAAAAAAAAACCTCATCTGAGACTTTGCTGCAGTGTTAGGATTGGCAAAATCTACAGTTTGGTACATCCTGAGAAAGAAAGCATTGGTGAGGTCAGCAACGTAAAAAGATCTGGATGTCCAAGGAAGACAACAGGTCTCTCCAGGAGGTAGGTGTACCAGTAACCAACCATGAAAGTAAATACAGAGTTCACTGCAAGGTTCAAGCCACTCATAAGCCCCAAGAATAGAAAAGCTGGATTGGACTTTGCTAAAAAACAAACAAAAAAACAAAACATCAAAAAAGCCAGCACAGGTCTGGAAAAATATTCTTTCGAGATGAAACCAAGATCAACGTCTCTCAGAATGATGGCAAGATGGCAAAATTATGAGACAGCTCATGATCCAATGCATTCCACATCATCTGTAAAACACAGCGGGGCGGTGTGATGGCTTGGCCATGCATGGCTGCCAGTGTCATTGGGGCACTAGTGTTTGTTTGTTTGTCTGTGTTCAGAGACAAATTGAGCTCAAATTGAGCTAAATGCAGTCAGAGTGATTGGGCAGCATCATAATACAGATGGACAACGACCCAAAACATGCAGCCAAAGCAACACAGTTTATTAAAGCAAAGAAGTGGAATATTCTTGAACTGCCAAATCAGTCACCTGACCGTAACAAACTGAGCTTTTAACTTGCTGAAGACTAAACTTCTCCACACAAACAGCAACTGAAAGGCCTGGCAGAGCATTAACAGGAGGAAACTCTTTTATGCAATCTTTTTGTTCAACCCACTGAATTAAAGCTGAAGGTCTGCACTTCAACTGCATCTGAATTGTTGCATTTAAAATTCATTGTGGTAAGGTACAGAAGCAAAATTAGAAAAAGTTGTCTGTGTCCAAATATTAATGGACATAACTGTACGTTTGGACTGTGAGAGGAAGCCTGGAAACCCACTAAGTCACAGGAACAGGAACAGAAACTTAACGAAGGCTAGAAACATCTTATTGAGAAACAACAGTACTCACCACTACGCCACCAGTAACCAGAATTTCATCAAAATGCCAGAGAACCAGTCTACAAAGGCTGTTTCATTAAATGATAGCAACTTGAACTCTCATTATTGAAATCCTATGAATCTCTTAATAACTGTAGATAACTCTAATAGCATATGGGACACTGTATTATAAGCATCTTTAAATTTATGTTTTTAAAAAGAAAATCACATAACATATAATAAAATATAACCTTTATTTAACATCCCTACAGGCATCGCATCTCCCAGGATTTACTGTTTCATTGAGCAGTACATGTACCTTATATATACTTACTATAACAAACAGAAAAAACATGGTAAATATAGCTTTACATACATGTCACCAACTGAAATAACATACAACGTTTGGCAAACGGGGATGGGCTGGATCTTCCATGCATGCTGGAGGGAGAGTCAGGGTGTCTGATTTGAAATAGACATGGAGATGTTGGTATGGTGTTCTGCCCATTTCTTCATTATGTACACACTGCCGCACAGCCAACTTGCACCTTCTCAAACACTCTGGAAGAAATAAGAGGGATTTATAAGGTTTGCACACACGCAGTCATATTTCCACAGAGGATATAAAATTGGCATATTGTGCATTAATTTAATGAATTATTTTACCGGTAACTGAATGATGTACACACACACACACACACACACACACACACACACACACACACACACACACACACACACACACACACACACACACACACACACACACACACACACACACACACACACACACACTCTTACCTTAAAACATAAGACCTGGACTTCTGC